TCTCAAAGTCTGAACACTGCAGATGAGACAAAAGGCTTTCATGTGACTCGGGTACAAAAGCTGCACTGGTTTGAGTTTGACATCAGAGTTTTGCAAGGTGCAGCTGTCATAAAAACAGGCCAGCTTTAATAAAAAGGAAAAAAAAGTCATGAGCTCGGAAGATAAAGGATTACGGTGGATTGCACTGGTTCGTGATTGCTGTCTCTTTTATTATTCTGTCCAGATTAGAGAAACGACACCTGGCTTTGTTCTTGTTTCAGTTCAGACAAGAAGTGGTCAGTAGTAGCAGCTGAAAGTATATAAACCTCTCACAGAGCATTAGTTTATTAAAATGGACTCAGAATCAGATGCAAACGGAGCTTCTTGTTGTTGCATTTGATGCACAGTATGTCTTAGTTGTGGTCTAACGATTGTACTTGAGTATTTTTCAGTTACCTGTAATTGTAATCAAAATACCTCACACTGACATGACTTCCTTAAATACTTTCATTAATCCTAAACAGGGAAGCAATACTTAAATCAGACATAAATAAGAAAGGCATCAGTGGAAGACAAAGTGTACATGTTGGGATGTTTGTGTCTTTACTAAATGTCTAAATATACTACGAATCATCTCAGTGGCTGAGCAGTTGGGATCCTAAGTGTGAAACCCAAAAGTGTAGCATAAATTCGTAACCATGAATGCTCCCTAAAACTATAATGGGGTTTCCAGAACAATGACAAGTATAAAAATGTTCGGTTGAAATGTCATTTTTTCCCTTGCATGCCTGTGAGGGGTCAGAGTAAGGCTGTCGATGATGAAAGGGTCCTAACCGTGTGAAGTGAAGTGAGCTGAAAGTGCTGAAGTATTATTTCGTTAAGCAGAGGATACACTGGTCTACCTTTTATGAAATAAAATAGATAATAGAATCCTAATTAATGCCGTAACCTGCTGATATGTTTTGAACCTTCACTGAAACATTATGTTAAGTGCGAGGTGAACTATAAACGCTGCTGTAATAAAATCTGCTTCTTATGATGTTGTTGCCTTCCCTAGAACATGCAGATTCATTTTTTTTTTATTATTATGAGCTACAGTCATGTGAAAAACTAAGTACACTCTGTGATTCAGTAGCTCGTAGCACCACTGTTTGACTTTATGACTCAATGACTGTAAGGTGCTCAGGTCCTGTGGCTAGGTGCTCCAGCGTGACAGCTGGTATGAGGTGTTTGTGCTGATATGCTGTGTTTGGTTGTCAGGTGGTGCTGTACACGATGAACAAACAGCTCCGCTTTGGCCTCGTCTGTTCAAAGGAAACCTAAGCCGTGCTTTCATGTTCTTTTTAGAGAAGACAGGCTTTCTCCTTGTAAACTCCTTCCAAACAAGCTGTGCTTGTTCAGTCTTTTTCTAAATGAACATTAACTGTAACATTTAATTTGCTAGCTGAGGCCTGCTGAGTCTGAGATGTAGCTCTCAGGGATTTTTATCCAGCTTCTCCCAGCATTTAACCATCTGACCTTGGGGTGAATTCGCTGGGACGTCCACTCCTGGGAAGATCAGCAGCTGTCCTGAATGTTTTCCCACTTTTGAGTCAACTTCAAATTGTTTGGAAACCCAGACTGATGGGCAGCAGCAGTTGCTCCTCTGAGATCATCGCTGGTGTTAACACACACGTGAATGCTCCAGACAAGCAAACCTCTGCTTGCATAGAGGTGCTCAGCTCACAC